TTGCACCGCGCGACACCTGTCATTATTTCCGCGAGCGAGCGCGCACGTTTTTTTTTTTTTTTTCCTCCATTCCCCCGCGTGCGTTCTAAGGTGCGGAAAGAGAATTACTCGCGTCGTGCATTTATATTGTAATAATCGATCCAAACGAGTTACTTGCCGGTGTGTACGAGCGTGCGGTAGAGTGTATATAGGTGACGCGTATACCAGTTGCAGGTTGAACGGAGGCAATAATACACGTATGTATCTTTCGTGCGACGCTTCGGGCTATGGGTGACTTTTTGCTGCCGTGCTGCGCACCTTTTGCAAACTATCTCGGCAGAATTACAGAGTCTGTCGTACTCTCCTCGTACGTGGCTTGTTTTTTCATCTCAATTCTATTTTTTTCTTTTTTTTTTTTTCCCTATACTTTACGAGCCTACATTTGCCTCTACATTCGCCCGGTCCGAAACATTGCACCGCGCTTTTTAACAAACAAGTCACTCGATGCGAGAGCAGGTGTACAAACAAAGTACTCACGAAACGCGTGTTAATAAATTCTTGAGAGCACACCTACCCGGTCTCTTGGGAGTTATTTGTATTCGAGAAACCGTTTGCCAAAACGTTACCCATTTAAATGTCCATGCTGAGCGTATAATTGTGACTATTCTAATGTCAGAAAAGCGACAAACGACCTCGCGAATCGTCCAGTTCGCGGTGCTCGAAAAAAAATGATGCGATTCCACGGGTGTTTCCCACACTCGGTGTATAGTAAAGAAGCCCCGCTAAAACGGTCCAGAGCGGTAAACTTGACCATTTGAATGTCCCACCCGTGAAAGCCTTTCTCGTAGCGTATAATGTACCCACACGCAGCTATGCCGTGCAATAAAAAGACTGGACTAGCAAAAGGGGGAGTGTGCACATATAGCGTGGCTGGAGGTGGTTCGTCATGGGCTGTCGAGCCCTTCGCACGGCTCGCGCGTAACGGCGGAAACCATTCGGACATTCCTCGGGTTTTATCGCCCGGCGATTCGCGACGCGCTTGCATTATGTACTCTCCCCCGCTATGTACCTGCTCGCGGCTCGTAAATCTCCGGAGAAACGAACAACAGCTTCGCCCGGGAGCTTCTTCTTTCTTTCTTCCTTTCCTCCCTCCTCCTCTCTTTTATGCTCCGGTGCTCCGCGAGAGTCTCCCGTTTTAGTGCTCACTTCGTTTTAGAGGTGAGTAATTGTCGGCCGGGGAGACGGGTGATACCTCGCCTTCCCGGAAAACCACCCGAGAGCGAAAATCCGTTTGGAAGAATCTCGGGCAGGTATCGGCTCGTCCCTCCCTGTTGTCTCGGATGGTCCAACTTGTCGGGTGCACCTATCGCACGCAGTGTGACACTACCTGAACTCATGTACGCGCAAAAGTCACCGCCGCGAAAAAAGTGATGATGAGCATCCGAGAAACTGGTTTCCGTTCTCTCTCTCCGGGCACATAAATCTCGGACAAAAACAAGCGGGAGCGCGGCGAGAGGCGACTGCTACGTTTTTTGCATAACGTGGATGTGCGGCTACGGTTTTACAAGCCTCTTATTTTCTTAACGGATCCCCGCAAGCTCGAGCACCTAGTGCGTGCACGCATACTCTTAAAAACTGTCTGTCAATTGGAGCCGACGACAGGTGGCCTTTTTTTTTCTTCCTCCCAACGCTATAAACTATACCACACAGTCGAAAATTGTCGCGCTTTGCAGTTCCTTCCTCAAGTCTTACCATTTTATCACGTTAAACTAATGAAATAGTATATAATATGGGCGCGGTGTAGTTGGAACGCACGTGATAATGGCACTGATCACGCGTGCGTTGCGCAGAGAGCGACGGACAGTACGCGAGAATCGATGGAAAAACAAAGCACAGCTTTTGGATGTGATAAAAAAAAAAAAGGAAACTTGAAAACGATTCACGAGCTGTCGGGTTCTGTGATTAAACGCGTTGCGTGGACTTTGACAAGCCCCTCCTGCTCCGCACGAAAAGCTCACCCTCTGAACAACACCGTGTTTACCTGACCCTGGGTTATCTATAATTGACGCAAGACAACACTCGTTTTCTTCCAACTCCACACCGCGTCGCACTCTAATCATAATTCCATTTCTCGTGGGTGAGTGAAAGCACACTTTTTTGGTACGTTTGATTATTGCATTGTCCATATTTTTTACTCGCCACGTCCATCCAAAGGAATTAAATGACAAGTTCGGCGAGTATAGAGAGTTTTTCACGGTGTTCTTTCTACTATACGCGGAGATTACCAACCCGTTCTAGATATTTTGGTTCTATTTTTTCATATCTCTCCCTCAGATCCAAATAAAAATCGGCAAAGGTAAAAACTAAAATCTGCACAGTTACTGCTACAAGTACCGATTGTCGTTGACGATCCTCCGCGTGGACGAAAAACACCACTTTATCATCGTCCAGCCACAAAGAGATACCAGTACCGATCACGGTATCTGCCGCAAAAAGTCGGGCCGATTTTCGCCCTCCGACTCCCCGTCCGCGTGATTATCGTTAACCCGCACTTTGCGCGCGGCACTTCACATGCGTTGACCATCTGTATAATATATACACCTCTGCTGCGAGTATCGTACCTCATGAGAGTATATACATACATAAAGAGGACGAAAAGAAGATTAGCAGGGGATCGATGAGGAAAGGGACGAAAAGAAAAAAAAGAAATGAAAAAGGTGGAGGGTAAGTATTATCGGTGTCGCACGCGCGCGCTCGGCTCCTCGGAAATCCGATCGCGAACACGATATCCTCTCTCGGCGGGTTTTAATGTACGCGCACCGCGCCGGTTCATACGTACACGTATATACACGCGTACGGGGAGGGTGAATGAGCAAAGGACGAAAAAGAGAGGGGAGGGGGAGCGAAAAAAAAAAACGACCGCGAGGAGAAGAATTAAAGGACGACGCGAGAGGAGAGAAACGTCGCTTTAATCTCGCGCCCCGTGGCTGTATCGTAACCGCGTGCAAAATCTCTCCTCCTCCTCTCTCTCTCTCTCTCTCACTTGGTCCGGTGCACTTTCGTATTATAAAGCGTATACACGAGCGCTCGCGCGTTTTCATACGGACATACGCGACCATATACACAGCGAGATGGAGCTCACATTATATACAATACAGGGTATTTATTATACGGTCACATGTGTGTTTGCATATACGTACACGTATATATACAAGGGGAGTGAGCGCGGGGAGGATATACGCGGGGAAACCGGTTTCCACCGTACACGCTCAATTTCACGCTAACGTCCGTGCAATTCTGTTTACGCGAATGTGCATCCACTCCCGGAGTTTTCTAATGCAACCGTATGCGACAGTCCCGACTCTTTTTCGCGTCTGGTATGTATGTAAGCGTGCGTGTCTCCAAAGATCGATCGGCTCACCGATATCTTTTCCGGAGCCGATCTTTCGCCGACGACGAACCATTTTCACTCGCGTGAGACGGCACAGCCCGAGTTCTCGCGAAAGATAATGCACGACGCACTTGCCTCTTCTTCTTCTTCTTCTTCGATTCCTTATCGGTATTTTGCCGCATTGCTGCTGCAGCAGGACCTTTTACTGCCACCGCGGGAGAGTAATCGGCTGTGGGATCGTTTATTATCAGCGGACACTTTGAAGGAGGTTTTTTTTTCTCTCGAAGCCATTAGGGTTTCGACAGAGTCGAGTCGGTGTTTTGTTCCTCGCACGGTAAACACCTGGGATGTCGGTATTTCGGGTGCGCGTTTGGCAGCGCCCGGATGCTCGTCGATCTCGGCGGGGTCCTCGGTGAAACAACATATATTAATTTTAGAGCTGACGTCCGTCTGTCCGACCACTCGTGCACGTCCATCTCACTGTGCACGCAGATCTGAGAGAGTGTCGTCTTCACTGTACGGGTGCACATTTTTTTAAATCGGCACGTCACTCTGGGCACACGTTTTTCACACGCGACCGCACTTTTGCTCCCCCCGCACTTTTTTTTTTTTTGCCGTTCCTGGTTCACTTGTGTTTTTGTTTTCCGCGCAACGGGCACCACTTTTCTTTTTTGTTGTTCTTCAACGTGAGCACAGTCTGGTAGCGATTTCAATTAAGTTTTTCTGTTCGCTTCACTCGTTTTTTTCCTTTATTTTTACTTTTCTCCTCCACTCGTTCGTTTGCCGACCATACGGCGAATTAGTGTCGTTAGCGACAAGCATTAGTAGAGCGTGTACGTGTGCGTGTATGTACGGACGGAGAAAATGAGAAAAAAAACAAAAAACGAAAGAAAAAGAGTCTTGTTCTCTCTAAAAGCATCAACCCGAGACGGGCGGTTAAAAGACTTCCGCGACAAGTGTCAGAGCTCGCCCGCCTCGGAACGACTTAAGAGCTTGCGGGTGTAGGCAAGGTCGGAGGCAGAAGAAAAAAAAAAAAAAATACAAAATACAAAATGAAGATGAAGGGTTATGACAGCCCGAGAGTGTACATCGAAGGGGACCGAAAATATGCGCCGACGACACGGCTGTCAAGCTTCGAAGAGCAGAGACGACGACGACGACGACGGTATTTTTGGAGCGGCGGCCCGGTTTTTGACGTCTCGCGAGTAAGTAGAGCACAACAGGGGACGCACACGTGAAGAATCGGTTGTCGCTCCGTCGGGTACGGGACGACCGATCGACGACCAACACTTTCAGGACAACCGCGACTGTTTGTCTTATTAATGCGCGCACACTGCCGATTTGTTGTAAAACATTAAAAGCACTGCTCAGAGGAGGAGACGCGGCGTCGCGTGTAAAAGCAATTTGTCAGCGAGAGATGATTGACGCTAAAGATATGAGTCAAGCCAGAGAGGAGGAAACAATTTTGAGATGACAAATGCCAAAAGAAAATAAAAAAAAAAAAAAAAAGAAAGAAAAGAAAAAAAGGGTGGTAAAATGAACCAGAGAGGTAATAGAAAGCGAGGGAGGATAAAAATGATGAAAAGAAGAGGGGGGGGGGGAGAAAGAAAAGGAGGAAAAAAAAACTCACCTGGAGTATGTATCCTCGGGTGTAATCCTCGTGGGTCCAGCCAAAAGCGGCGAGCAGCTTGAGAACTTGCGCGTGGCTCAACTGGTTGAACAACTGATCGAGGAGTATCTTGAGCCTGATGGGTAGCGCGCGCGATCCGTAGAGCACGAGAGAGGCTACGTCAAACACGGCCGTCGGCTCGACAGTCTCTGAAGCCGGTCGGCTCTCCTCCTTCTCCGCGAGTCCGCCGCCACCACCGCCGCCGCTTCTAGCCGCCGTTGTCGTCGTCCCCGTCGTCGCAGTCGTCGTCGTTGCCGCTCCTCGCCGCTTCTGATCCCCACCACCTCCGCCACCTCCTCCGACGCCACCACCACCACCACCACCCTCGTCCTCGTAGCCGCTGCCCCTACCAGAGCCGCTTGCCGTTCTACGTGGGCTGGAGGCGACATCCCCTCCACTTTTGCCAGCTGCTGATTCTACCACGCCACCACCCTCGCCGAGACCGTTGCTGCTGCTGCAGCGGCTTGACAGTCGCGCGAGCGCTGAAACATACACACACAGAGACATTATATTCAGTTCTGCTCCGAAACAGAAAGAGAGGAGGGGGCGGGGGCTGGACCGACTGGGCAAGTGGCGCCATCTGCGCTGGCTCTCTCTCCTCTCGCGGCTCTACTGTACCTATATATATATACATACTTGGCTTGTTACATGAGCGGACGCTCACCGTTACTACTAAGTATACATGCTCTCTACCATTGCTATTATTATTGTTATTATCATTGTACACATCTGTTGGTTGGCTTCTCACTCCTCGTCGCACTGCACGCTCATTCGTCCTCCGGGCCGTGTGTCACACGGACAGCCACAGCCATAATATATAGTGCCCTCCCTCTGTATACGCGCTCCTCTCTTTGCCGTCAATCTCTGTATGTTGTACCTACGATGACACAAGTACCCCCGTGGCTCTCCGTACTCGGCTGTACCTACTTGAGCACAACTCCCGCAGCAGTTTACTATAATGCCGTGACGTTAGACCCTCTCGTCTCGCGAGCTCATGCTTATTACTCACTTCCCCTTGCTCTTTCCACGCTCTACGCACGCATCTACTCATCTGTGCACCCGAGGTGTACCTACGTACCGAGTATAGGGTTGTACTACCGTGCGAGGTATGGAAAGGGGAGTTGCCCAACGCGTCCTTGGATTTTCCCACGAGCCAAAGTATCGCGTGACGCGGGGGGTAAGGGTCTACGTGGGGGCTATCCAAGGGGGGGGAGGGGTTTAACCCTCGTCAACCTGACGCTGTTTTGGATATATTGATGGGGCGGTTCGTGTAAATACATACTAAAACTCGGCTTGAACGTTTATGTCGTTTTCGCTTGGTTTTGTGCAAAAGCCACCCTTTGGTGAGAAAGGGGTAAAAATGAACATTTAAAAGCTATTGAGAATCCAAGTCTTTAAAGAATTATTGTCAATCGATGGATCGATGCAGCCCCTGTATCTTTTCACCTCGACATTTTAGTGGACACCTTTCGACAGGACGAATGCATGTTGTTCGTCCGTTGAGTTGTGGTTGAATAATTTTCACGTTTTCCCCTAAATCTACCTTTGTCTCATTTGTTCCACATAAACGCTCCAGTATAATATACCTACCTACGCGATTTTCACAAATAACATTTCGTTCAAGCGTCGAAATCAATAAACAACCTGTCCGTACCCTCCTCACAGTTTCTCTTTTTGCAAAGTGCCTGCATGTCGATCAATTTGAAAATCCAACTGGAAAGGAAAAACCCTTCGTTGGACGTACCTATACCTTTTCACACCCTCGAATAGCACGTACGCACACGGAGTTATTGAAAAACCGTGTAGAGTGTTAAAGTTAAAAACTAAAATAAGGTGCACAAAGAAAGAAAACCACACGGGAGCATATAGCACGTCCTCCTGATTTATAAGCTTGGACGTGAAAAGGTGTATTTATATGTGTGTATAGAGGCGCTTTCTCCCGTCGGGGCCGTCACGCTTTTCGAGCATTACGACTCCAACCAATCGCGGACGTCCAAAGCGAACGAGAGCACGGTAAAGTCCGCCGCCGCGTACAAGTCCACGGAAGCGCTAACTCGAGCGTCGATCTTAATCCACGGCACGCGGTCGCGTCCGACCCTATGCACGTTTCTTTTCCCGCAACGAGCGCGAGTCGAATCGAAAAAAAGCCAGTCCTTGTTTGGCACTGTACCCGTGTGGTACAATTTTCGCCGAGGGGGAGGAAAAAGAGTCGGATGCACGCGGTCTGATTCCACCACCACCGTGTTTTTTTTTTTTTTCTTTTTTTTTTTTTCCTCTCCCTCAAACTGCCGTGGACTTACGTATACGTGCACTTTCCTAAGCTTTATCATCCGCGCGCGATCAGCCGCCTCTTCGGGATGCTGCCGTGTATACGAAACCAACACCGCGGTCGGCTCTAATGAGAAACTTTTTCGGGGTAATTATACGGCTCGGTTTCTCTATGCTTTTTAGAAAAGAAAAGCGCCAGCTCTCATCTTTTTTTTTTTTTTTTTCTTTCCCTCCATTGCCACGCGCACGAGAAGTCACGCGTGCGCGTTGGTACGTATATATGTGTGTATATTCGGGCTCCCCGCGCTTGCGGAGCCGATCCAATTGAGATTTTAATTGACACGAGCGCACGCCTTCGAGAGTCCACGTTTCGCTTCGGCCCAATAATATATGTGTATACATTTTCTCCCGATCGCGCTGATTGGGTACTTTTTTTTTTTTTTTTTTTTTTTCCTTCATGCAGACACTGTGCAGGGATGCGTGCGTTTTCTCTCTCCTGGCAGCAGAGAAATCTTTGCCCTGCATCACAAGAACTCGAGTGCTCTCTCTATTGATTGTTGCTCATAGTCATCCTATAATTATGCACTCGGCTTAATGTACACAATTAAACGGCAACTTTAAACTTCAAATTTGAAGCACCCCCGACTCGTACATTAGTTTTATCTGTTCTCGTGCACGGATCATTCCATCATTTAGATCGGGAGCATTTTTTTAAACCCTTTGTTTTCCCACTCAAGTAACAAATTTAACGGAATCTCGACAAAATGGCACGATAAAAATATTAATAAATACAGTCACCCCCCGCATGAATGTTTACACAAAGACCGATTTCTCTCCCCGATACCGATCGAGCTCCAATTATATAGCACACAACCAGCATCAGTGGAGTCTTTAAGAACATCTCCTCGTTTTTTGTTGTTCCTCTCTGTCCTTCTCGTGCGTACCATACCGAGTATATACAGCTACAGATGGAAAAGGGATATATAGGGGCAAAAAAGGGGGAAAGTATATATGTATAATAGGCGGTGCCTGTGCCCCTTCCCTCGCGTGCATCGGTCCCTGCGTGGCGTTGATGGCCTTTTTCCCTCGTGCAGCCGCTCTTGTCACGCATACATCGAGGGTCCCAAAGCGAGAGAACATTTTGGGTCCCCGCAGCGTATACATATAGCCACGACGTACGCAGCAAAGGGAGAGAGCGGCTCGGTACAGACGAAAAAAAGTCATCGAGTCATCGGGAGATTGGGCGCCACTTGTCATTATTAATGACTATTCGATACTTTTTTTTTTCCCCCCCTTTTTTTCGATTTAAATAAAAAGCCGAGGCGATGACAATCTCTCGCCACCATCGATTCTCATACCACCCGTGTACATTGGCGGCTAAACCTGTTTTTCAATGGCTGATGCTCTCTATATATACATATATATGTATATATACGCGCACACCGCATCTCTTCGGAGTGGGGAGGGAGAGTAGCTATTATTGTATATTGGCCGTATATACGTATAGTACCACGTATACTCTCGGGGGCCTTGTCCGCGACGAGCTGTAAAAAAAAAAACAAAAAAAAAAAAACAACCACACGACACACGCGGGGCATGTTTACCATCGTAAATTCGAAATTTCAGCACCGATGGTCGATCTGATTTTTCGCTCCCTCCACGGGCTTTGGGATAAAATGATCAGAAGTCGATGGTGCTGGATTTTCGGGTGCACGCGCGTTGTACACACGAGCGAACGGTACGGCGTGTACGATCGTTTGATTAAATATTTAACGGGAAACGTTTGAAATTATTTTCGGCTTTGCTGATTATTATTATTATATGTGTATACATGTGGACTCCCGGCTCGCGTGTTTTTTCGACTTTCAAAGGACTTTCGGGACACAAGTGTATATACCTATATATGTATACACCAACGGGGGAAACATCCCTGATTTTCCCTTTGATAATCCTCGCGTTGAAAAAAAAGAAGAGAGAAAGGAAAAAAGAAGAAAAAAAACACGTGCCTTTGCAATTAAAAAGACGAAACAAGAGTTGCGCGGAGTGCACGGGTATAGAGATGCAATAAGCTCTCGAAATTAAAGCTCAGCCGGGAAAGGGATGAACGAAGCCAAATCGCATTTCTCGCGCATTGCACGCGCGTCCCGTGATACGTGTATATATATATATATATGTTTGTTGGGCTAAGCCGCGTACAACCGGAACCCTGAGTGAACAAACGCCATCGGTACATTGTTGCACCCTCTTTTATTTTTCGATGCCATCGGGGCCATTACATTTCTCTCGCGAAAGTCGCTGGTGCAAGAAAGGGGCGGGAAACATGCATTGGCGGGGCTACTCGAACATACCCGCCGGATTTTCTCTTCCCTTTGGGGGAACCTCGTATACGGTACTACACAGGTGCAGTCGCTGCAGAACGCGCGGGTGGCGGTATACACACACAGCGAGAGGCGTGTATCGGATTTTCGGGACGTCGCGCTAACGTCAATATTTGGTCGGGCGCTCCCTCTACCCGACATACGTATATACGTACAGGTATACGGTGCGTGCTCCGCTGCTGTGGTTTTTTTAAGCTTTTTTTTTTTTTTTTTTTTTTCGCAATTCACCCTGCCGTGGCGAGCCTCGGCTTTATTACACCGCACACATCGATGCGCGCACGGCTGGGAGGAACATTTTTTCGGACCTCGAGGGAAGAGCGGAGTGGGTATACATTTTTTTTTGCCGACTGGAATTTTTTCCCTCCACCCCCGCGAGACTCATGGGTGGGTGGCTCTCGCGACAGGCGAACGCAGGAGTTGATTAAATATCGATCATCAGGCCCAAACTGGTAGAGTCCTCGACAAATTCCAAAAAAGCCGGACAATGTTGCCCCTCTCTCGAATCGTT